TTCCATTTGTCTCCTGTTACTTGATGTTGCTGATTTACTTTTTGTTTTCCTTGAACTACTAGAAGTAATGCTGGGTTGTCTCAATGCTACTCCTTGAGTGTCATTGTTTCCATTCTCAGAAACATTCTGTGATAATTTGTCAGTATCATTATTTTCTTTCTGATCAGGGGTATACCTTTTTGGAGGTTTAACTTCCCTATTACTTTTTCTGTAAGGCATGGTTCTTTTTAGCGAATTTCCCTATAGGGAAGTAGCTATTACCGTAGGTCTCATGGTAAGACCTAAGCCCGGGACCGATTTACTTTTTCATTTTGATGTCCCCAGAGGCCAAAAACACCATTCGTTCAAATTTTTATATATCTATATATATATATATATATATATATATATATATATATATATATATATATGTGTCCATCCGCACGATAACTTGAGTAATTTTTGTCCGATTTTGATCAAATTTGGTTTGAAGGTGTAAGGCAGACGATTAACTTGAATGAGTTCGCGAACCAGAATGATCGGACTATGGGAACGGGGGTTTATGGGGGGTTTTATGGGGTAAAAATAGGTTTTTCCCATTTTTGACCCTAAAAACACAAAATTTCACAATTTCTTTTTAAACCATTTTGTAGAGCTTAAAAAAATAAATAATTTAGTATATTGAAGCGTTATTATGTGCCTAATTGTTACGGAGAAAATTCCAAAAAAATTGTAATTTTAAAATTCCCATGTTATTCTTATGAAGAATAAGTCAACTGTTGTTGTTTGCTTGTTTATGAACATATTTTGATCAAATTTGGAAAATTCATTAATTTCTTACTAAACCACAGTACCTTTTAACCCTCCGAGTGTCACGTGTTTTGGCCTTAATGTCAGCCTATTTTTTGCTCATTTGCAAGGTTTTATTAAAACTGATCTGAGAAGCTTAAAAACAATGTTAATTATACTGTTCTATATACCATTTTGTTTGGAAAATCTTGGGCTTCAATATTATACAGGGTGATTGATATAAGTGTGCCAGCCGTTTTATTCGAAAACTATAAGAGATATCGAAAAAAGTTAAATGGTAAGTGCCTTGGATTTTTTATTTAAAAAATTGTAGTCAAGTCAAAAAAATTATTTTAGCCGCCATTTTTCCAATATGGCCGCCAACTTTGATTTTTCTTACGGAACACCCTGTATTTTATGATGTATTCTGGTAGAAAAAGTAATTTTAAGACGATTTTATTCTTGTAATTTTTTTCATAAACCTAACCGTTTCAAAGATAATAATGGTTAAAGTTTTGAAATTTCTGCATGAGAAAGAGTTTCAATAAAGGCCTAAGCAAGCATGCCAGCTGTTTTGTTAGAAAACCATTCAAAATTTCACAACTTAAACCATTATTATCTTTGAAACGGTTAGGTTTATGAAAAAAATCACAAGAATAAAATCGTCTTAAAATTACTTTTTCTACCAGAATACATCATAAAATACAGGGTGTTCCATAAGAAAAATCAAAGTTGGCGGCCATATTGGAAAAATGGCGGCTAAAATAATCTTTTCGACTTGACTATAATTTTTTTAATGAAAAATCCAAGGCACATACCATTTAACTTTTTTTGATATCTCTTATAGTTTTCGAATAAAACGGCTGGCACACTTATATCAATCACCCTGTATATAAAACATAAGGAAGATTTAAAAAAAAAAAATTTTTTTAGGTAAAAAAATGTATAATTTCGAAAATTTTCAAAAAAAAATAAGTTTGCGCTCAATGAAATTGTATAAATTATAGGCCTATAAATATTTGAAAATAGCCACTTTGTTCTAAATTTTATGAGGATTACAAATCTATAATAATATAAGGAAGTAGATTTGCAAATAAAAAAGTTATGGGCAAAAAACAGATTTCAGTACATAGCGTTTAGCTAAGAATGCATAGCCCAACCATAGCTAGGAATCTGGCTGATAATTTACATCAATATCACTACCTACTTCTTCAGGATCATCAACCAGCACTTCAAAACCACTTAAATCTTCTTATAATGCACCACGTATATCACTACTTTTGATTTTTAACACTAAAACAATGATAAACGTAATAAAACACATCAGTCATCGGTCCGAGGGTAACCTAGCTGTTTACAAATACACGCACGTCAGCTCAGTCAGCTGTCTGCTACAATATTTTCGGAACTAAAATGAATAGTCCTTAGAGACAGACCTCTGCAGAAAGCTTAGAATATTACGGACAGAACGATACCTAACTCAATCCAGTACAGTCCGATTCAGTTAGTCATAGAGCCTTCGCCGTAAACAGTGTTCGCGAGTCGCTGCAGCGACGCACGACACTATACAAAGTGCGTTACGCGTCGCTGCAGCGACGCATGACACTCGGAGGGTTAATATTTTACATTTAAAAAAAACTTTTTACCCCCCCCCCCTGTTGGAGCAAACCTAAGTACTCATTAAACTAATTCTGTTTAAATTGGGAATAAATGTGATATTTTTAAGGAGACATTTTAGTTTAAATCCAATCAGGCAAATGGAAATTCACTAAGTCTGCAGGTCTGCTGCGGCGGGGGTATTTAGTTTTGGCACCAATATTAAATTGTCAATTATCAAAGTCAAAATAAGAATAGTCAATTTCAGTACAACATTTCAATAACTATTTATTTACTCATTTTAACAATATTAAAACATGTGATAATTAATCTTCACAAATAAACCATACAACAGAAATATAAAGATTAATCAATGGTCATACATATATATGAAATTAGTCATTAACAGTGGGATCAAGGTACTTCTAAAGGCTGGGGTTTCAGAGTGCTGAGTGACTAATCGAGGCTGATAATCTTTCCTTGTGTTGGATATTTATGTCTTTGAAGTAATCTATATGCTTCATGAAATGAAATGATTTATTGTCGTCAATTTCATGAACAAGTCATCCAAAGTTTCCTGGTCACCTCGTATTCTTGCTGTCGTAGGTGGAAGTCTCTCTTTTTGAGTCAGTTTTTTAGAAGGAGTTTGGCTGTTTCTCCTGGTCATATCCGGGTTCAGTTTTTTGAAAGGAGTTTGGCTGTCTCTCCTTTTAGTTTCTTGTGTCAAGATGTCAGCATCACATTTCTGTTTTACACCATCTACCTGTAAGCCGATTTCTACATTGGCAGGTTCTTCAAGCCAAGCTTTGTTTTTGGCTACTTGGAGAGATACACTGAAATGGTCCTTTCCTTCCTAATTGGTTTTTTGCTCTTGCTTGGGTTGTGGTTTTTAGAATGAGGAAAAATCTCTTCAGTGGGTGTACTTTGTGTGACTGTTGATGGTGTAGCAGGGTTTGTTTGTTCACCTTGTTTGTGCAGTTCTTCTTGCAAAGTTTCCACAGAGCGCTCTAGTTGGTCTTGTCGAGTTTTCAGCTGAGCCAGCTCAGTAATTTGAGAGGCACAGTAGTTGGGAACATCAAATCGGCGTGATTTGTTTGTGTTTCCGAAGTGCCAGTAGGTTTTTGTGTCTGAGGTAGGTCCGTTTTGTCATCTTGGTTTAGTTTCAGCTTGTTTGTCATTCCACCTAATTGCTTAATTTCATTTGCTGAGTCGCGTAATAGTTTTTCTCTTTCATTATCTTGTTCTTTAAAGGTTCGTATCATTTTAATTCTTAGCTGCCTTTCCTTCTCTAGTTGGAGTTCTACTTCATTTAGTGTTTCAACCAGTGAAGCATTTCAGGAGAGCAAGATTTCCTTGTCATTTTCAAGCTCTTCAATTTTTGCCTCAGCAAGGTTCACCTCAGCAAAGTTATCGTCTCTGAAGTCTTGGCATTTTAAGGAAGAGAATTTTTGCTTCATATCATGTAGTTCTTGCTTTAATTTATTATTTTCTAACAGTAAAGCGTGTCCAGCTTCCGCAGCAAGTGTCAGCGATGTCTCTAGATCATCAGGATTTTGTTCTTGTTCTTGTAAATCTTGTACTTTATTTTGGACTTCTCTGGGCTGCTGATTTTCTAGTGGGAGAACATTACTGTCTACTGTTGTGTTTCTGTCAGGGTTCAAGCATTTCGTGTTTGAGAAGGCATTTTCTGCTTCCTTTAAGACTTTATTGAACACTTTATTTTTTAAATGTTCTATTTTTGGTTTCCCATAGAAATCTTTACTTTGTTCATAACAATACATATCAGTTTGTCTAACGTCAGCAGAGTTGTTGTCACCAAAAAAAAACCCTTATATTTTGAGATGTAATTTTTGTCATTTGTACAAATTTCAGTAATTTTGGCTGGCCAGTGTGGATACCCTTTTAATTTTACAAACACAATTTGTCTGGTGATAAAGCTAGTTTTGTTGCTTATTTCCATGTTGGTTAATCCAGTTGCTGATTCAGTTTTGGAAAGTTTTGCTGGTTCTTTATGTCAGGGATCTTGAAGTTCAGGTGTAAAATTGTATCAGTTTTGAAAAGTTTGGCTGGTTCTTTATGTCAGGAATCTTGAGGTTCAGGTGTAAAATTATATCAGATCATCAGATAACATGTAAAAATATACACATACCGGTAACTAGCATCCCTTAACATAATATCATTTGGAGCTACACACAAGGCAACTTACTTCATTAACTACACTTATCCTTTATATTTGGGTTAAAATACACACCTAGGTGGCATCCCCATATCAACTTTTAATATTTCAATCGCTAAAAGTGGGTGATTCCAAGGTCAGTTTTAGCGAATTTTGAAAGATTGATTCAGGTGTTTAGGATGGACTCAGTAGTGCAGCTTTAAAATCGCTCTTGAGATTCTTTCATGGCCTTGCTACTAAACTCTCATCATCCTGCTGAAGCTGGGCTCAGTCGTCTCAGCTTTACCTATGAGGACGTCACATCATAGAATGGGCGAAACGTCAGGTATTAATTAACAATGAAATTCGGTAGTTTAAATACTAATTTAACGTGACTCTTGCTGAAGGACCAGCAATGCAGTGATGACACCGGCAGTTTGAGCCTAAAAAATGAAAATTTATTTAGCTTTTGTGGTTTTAGGAACGGATTGGTGTATCCTCCAATCAACTGAAAGCTCATAGCCCAGTGTTCAGGAGCAAGCTGAAAGATCTTCAACAATCTGATCGTCCAGAAGACAACCTCCTCATTAGTGATGTTAACCCGGACACGTTCAAACTGATGCTCAGGTACAACCAAATCAGGTCAAGCACTCAGTGTAACCCTTAAACCCCCCCCCCCTTCGCCCTTTCTAACACTTTTGACAGCTCCATGTCTTGCAAACAACATGCCGCCTTTAACTGATTTTGAACTTCTCTGGGTAGTCCGTGAACAAAAGAACTCTTTATCCACTCGTCAGAAACTGAAGAATCTATTAATTTAGCCAACCTTTTCAAATCAGATGCGTAGACATCAACAGATTCTCCTGGAAGCAAACGTCTGGATATGAACTCCTCATACGCTTGGAAACAGTTAGCAGAGAAAGCCTGCTGCAAAGCTTGGGTCAGGGCGGAGTAATCACTCTTAACTGCGTCGGTAAGCCCATCGTACCGACATGGACATCTTACCTTTCCTGTAATAGTTACAGCTTCTTATGTGTATTTATTTATACTGACTGAATTAAACATATGGGAATGCCTTAGGGAGCTTACTAAGAAAAACTTATTCTCTAAACAGGATTAGAAATTGTTAATATCTGCAGAAGTGCGGGGGTCTTGCACTGCTGGTTTAATGCTTTTCTGTATAACACCAACACCTAGAGTCACATTTTGGTTACTTGGACCGTTTTTCTCCGGATAAAGATAAATCCTCTTGTTTTGTTAAATCTTAAATTCTTAATTCTTTGTTGTCGCAAAGTTTTGATAGTTTTTAGTGCTTATTAGTTTAAAATTCCTGTCGGCATTCACATTTTCCCCGCAGACCGCTTGTAACAATTCCTGGTGGATATAAAATATATACCTTCCTCATATTTTGTCAAATGTCACATAATTAACACATTTTAATTTAACTTGATTTTCTATGCATGATTTGACAGCATTGTATAAAAAATGTATAAATGCTTTTATTTCTACAAAATGCTACTGGCGCCAATATCAAGAAACAAAAAGACAATGCGTTGTTTTTCAAGATATCACCTTGGGAATTTTTTGCAAAGGAACAGTCTAATAAATCCTGATCTTGCTGCTATCAGACATAGATAGTAACTAGTTTTAACCACTTAACTAGTTAATCCTTGGATAAGTAGGCTACAATACTTTATATATTGTTAGAGGAACACTGCAGTGAAAAAAAAACAAAGAGCCTCATTATTGTGTCTAAAGACAAGTTTGACTAAAGTAATCTTCTCTACTAGCATAATTTGGAAAACGAACAGGGCCTGTTTGAATTAGAATGGGGTTCAAAACATGTTTGCAAGGCATAACCTAGTCACTAGTGTACCTGTTGCTCGAATTCAAGCAATACAGGTGTTATTTTAAAACGAATAACAGTAATAATTTCCGCTGACTTTAAAAGTGTCGATTTAAAGATTACGGAAATGCTCTTGATGTACATAATAGATTTCTTGTAAATATCTTATCATTTTTCAAAAGCTGATGTTGTTTGACATTTTTTCCACAAATATTTCCCACTCATAGCCACATTAGGTTGTCCATAATAATGATTATAAATTTTAAAAATAATTCAAATGTTTATTTTTGATGTGGAAAGCAAATAGGGACCTCTTGTTGGGAATTTTCGATTTTGAGTTTTATATCTATATTTGAATTCCTTATCGAATTCCGAATCACTTGGTGCAAGTCCCATACATCTACGATTTTTTTTGTTAAAGTTATAGGAAATTTTGTTATGGAAAAGTGTAATTTTGAGAAAAACTATTTTGAAAATTTCAAATACGCATAAAAATAGCTTTTTTCGTATTTAAGAAACGATTTTGGTAACAAACAAAAGCTTATAATGTCCTCTTAGGAGGCAACCCAATTTTTCTCTTAACTCACGGTGGTTTTCATTTAAATAATTGTTTTATCCAAGCATGTCGTAAAAATCACATTTTAGAAAAGGGACCTCTTTTCGGCCCTATGTTATTTCTCCATAAGATAAGAAAAGGTACCTCTTGTCGGGACCGCAAAATTTGTGAGATATTTTGTCCTCCGTAAACTGAACTTTGTAGTAGTTCTCTAAATTTCCACTAGAACGCAGGAGAATTCATTTTTTGGACTAAAGTATCCTTATAAAGTGAAATTTAGAAATGGGATCTCTTGTCCTTATGGCGAAATAACATTGAGCGACAAGAGGTGCCTTTTCTCAGACTATGCAGAGGCTAACAAAATGATTCATTTCGACCTTTTACATCTTCAATTCGATATTTAACTGATACTGTCCTGTTCTATGTTAAATGAGGTATAACTTTCGATAAAAAACCCGAATTCCGATATTTTTTACCTTAATTACTTACTGAAAATTTTGCATTGCCGACAAGAGGTCCCTATTTGCTTTCCACATCACACTTCTTTTATTTCTACTTCATGGTGTTCTATGACTTTCCTATGTTTTCATAGTTTGCAAATCGGCTCTTTCAATGATTGCTCCAGAAATGCAGCACAGTGTTAATTCAGTTAACTTTTTAGTATATCAAATTGTCCAGGCTTTCTCGCTTTTTTCGATTGTAATATTTACGCAAACTCAAATTCAAATAGTAAATATTTCATTTCAACCAAGTCAGTAAATTTGTAGCAAACGTTTCCTTAAATTGCAACTAAAATATTAATTAATAGCAATTAAATTATCCAGCTGATCTTAATGTAAACAAAAAATATGTTCTTCATAAGAATAACATGGGAACTTTAAAAGCCACTGGGGCAGAGCACAAGGGACTTTTTCTAAAATGTAAGGTCAGTTTGCAAATCTACACATCTAGACAAACATTTTGGTATATAATATGTGGGGTCAAATCTTAAAACTAAAAAGCTATACCTATTAATTGTTCACAAAGTTTCATGTAGCGTATTAATAATATAGAGGTTAAAATGGTTATTAGATTACTAAAATTATCTACTAATTTAGAATAATTATTATATTACTAATATACAATATATTATATAACCTCTAATTTACAAATATGTCGATTGTACATCCATACCTAAAGATTGACTTACTTACTTGTACCTCTATCAGGTTACAGTTATCATTAAAAGAAACCTATTTAAAATCAATTTTCATAAACAGTTTTGTCCCTTGATTAAGAGGAGTGTACACAACTCACAAAATAATAGGGGACTGTGTTGTACCTTGTTATCTGACTGCAATATTCAGCTGAAGGTAATGAGTTGAATTACAATTCACATTTTAAACCATTGTTTGGTACTAGCGGTTTAGCAAATTTAAACTTAAAAATGCGGGCAGACAAACAATCAAACAAAAAGGTTTGTGAAGCTACCAATACCTATACCGAAGTCGGGGAGTCTTTGATGTGGTCCAGGGTTGTCCGAAGCAGGTCCGAGAGCGACATAAACGAAATATATGGTAGCTGTCATCGTAGGAGCGGTGTAGACAGTACTTATTGTAATGGGGGGACCAATGACTCACTCAAAAATTACATAAAAGAGGCGTATATTGATACTAACTGGTAACGTGACAGAGTTTACAAAGACAAATTAAATGTTTGTTATGGGGAGTTGCGGTAGCGTGCGTCTGGGGGCGACGCCGGTTGGTGCATGAGTGCCTCTGCGGTGGTGGGGATGCGTCGTCTTCATGACGTCATGAGCGACAGTACTAGTAGATCCAGAAAATAATATTTAAAACCGAATTTGGTACTAAACAATCATTAAAAAAAGTTGGTCATCCTAGTGGACCTTTGATAGTGCCTTCTAGAAATAAATAAATTAAAGTCTAGGAGGTAAAGCCCTAAAAGAAAATGGAAGTATAGTCTTAGCCATAGTCAAACATCTTTATTCGTGTCTCATGTACATTGGTGGTACAGTGAATAGTGTCTAGAAATATAAAATAAAAGTGGAAAACTCATAAAAAGAATATAATGCTATATTTATAAAATGCTCTTTTACAATTTACTTGAATTTTATATGGATAGCTTATAAAACCAATTAAATGATCAATTGCTGAATAACAAAATTGAATATTTTTCAGGCACATCTATGGAGGAGATCTACCCAAACTAGATGAAAAGGAAATAATTCACTTGGCTTTGTTTGGGAAGTCTTATGATATCAATGGCTTGGTCGATAAGGTAGCAAGTCAACTTAAACCATCAAGTGCTAAAAATATAATTCCCGCTTTGAATTTTTTATCCCACAATTACTGTCCAACATTGGAGGCAGAGGTATGCAAAATCATCCAAACAGAGACCTCAAGTGTTGTTTACGACAACACGTATTTGAATATAGGCGAACACTCTGTTTTGTTGATAGCCAAGCAAGATGCATTGAACATAACTGAAATAGAACTTTGGAAATTTCTTGTACGCTGGGGCGGAAATGAATTGAAAGCTCGTCAAGAGAAGTCGCTCAGAAATTGCCTGATCAAAGTTCTGGAGCATTTTAGGTTTCTAACACTCACTGTTCAAGAGATTGTTGATCATATACTGCCCAGTAATGTACTGACACCTGCAGAAGTCGGTGAGTTGTTTTACGCAATAATTGCAAAGCAAGAGCCATTAAAGGCACCTGGTCTCTGTCAAATTAGGGAAAAACGAAAACTGCTCTCCAACCCTGTTAATGAAACACCTAAATCATTAAAATTTGGTGTTACACCATCCAGCGTTTCAGCTTTAAAACTGAAAAGACAAGGCGGAAAAAAGTATTCTTCTTTCAGTATAGAACTTTTACAACAAGTAACGATGTCAATTGATTCCTTTATCATAAGAAATGAGGAGCGTGAACCAAACTCTAATCTCAATCGAGTTTACGAACTTCAATGTTACATTACAATTGTCAAGTCTTCTGAAGGTTTCCCAGTTGAGGAATATGTCGTTTCAATCACAAAGCCAGCAGCTATAATGTTTGATGATGTTAATCTGTCTATCAGGTTGAAAAATGACCAACCCTTAGTTTTAAAAGGACCTGGCAGATATTTCTTCAACATTTCCTTTAACATTCCAATCACTGTGTACGAGATTTACAAAATGGATTCATCAAACAAAGAACAGAATGTTACGTTCGAAAAACACCCGTATCCATCTGAAATGTATGTAAGATATGAAGACCAGCCCCATGTGATAGGAATTGTTTTCAAAACACGTCCAACCCCCAAATAATAATTAGTAAAATCTTGATTTGAAGCAACACAAAAATAGGATTTGTAAAATAAACATAAACTATAAATCTGAATATTTACTTTAGTTTCAAAATAGGCTACTTCAATGTGGACAACAAATCTACATTATATTTCTTTCTGGTTACCTATTCTTTCCTCTTAACAGCTCTGGGAATGTGTTGGAATTTATAACCAATCAAAACCACAGTAAAACTACCATATTTTCGTATACCGTACAAATATCTTGATGCAAAAATTTAGTTGTTAGTGTGTTAATTAGAATCTCTGATCAAGCTTGAAACTGTGAGTCAAATAAGTCTTGGAGAAGAAAGCTTTTCCCTTAGTTTCTGTATTTCACACTAAAAATAAAAATAGAAATATAATCAAGTAGTGTTGAGAATGTATAATTTTTCTTTCAGCAGTTTAACAACTTTGCCAGAAAGTTATCAACTTCACTGTTGCATTGAAAAAACATATTAGGAGATACTTTCCGTAACTTAACATGTCACATTTTAAATGCTTGGGGGACACATATCTAAGCCAATATGAATATTTAATGGATGCAATTTGCTATATGAATTTTAAGTAAAGTTTTGTGAAAGAATTTAGCTTATTTGTTTACACAATTTCAAGAAAACTTTTGTTATAACTTTGGTTTGTTAACTTTCGTACAATATTTATTTGTTCATTATTAATAAGGTTTTGTCCAAGGTTTTGCCATCAATTATTGTTGTTTAATGAATGTGAATAAACCATTACAGATTGTTCTTTTTATTGCCTGATCTATGTTTGGTACAACCTGTGGTAATGTGTAAAAAGAACTGAACACAAAATTTAATCATGAAAAATTTTGAAAAAGTTTGTTTTTATATAAATTTATCAGTGAGTTTCTAGATTGAAAACAAACACTAACAAAACATGTAATTTATACAGTATTCTGAAATGCAAAAAATGGAATACCAGCTACCATGCATTAGAGCATTATAAAATTTGATTTAATATAGATATTTATTGACAAATTAAATTTTTGAATTAATCTCGTACTCATGTTATTACATCAGAGTATGTAGTCTTATTTCTCTCTTGTCTCTTTTTTGTCACCCTATGGCATGCATTTTACAAAGTAGGTACACAAACACTCTTTAAGAAAGCGTTCCAAACCCATATAATTTGTAATTGAACCCATTCTCATTCCGTGTCTGAGGCACTGTTCACTAGGACAGCAACACACCATATTCTTTATTTTATCATTATTACAAATATTTTTTAGTCCTCCAAAAACGGTAAATTTTTTTTCTTTAAAACGGTTTTAAGAAAGTTTCCACATTGAGATTCAAAAATTATATGTAATCTTTGCTATTACTAATAAATACTCTTGTATTTTAAGACAATGAAATTAACATATTTTGATTGTGCATTATTTGTTGTAATTTAAATATCAATAAGTTTCTAATAAAATCAGTAAGTGCAAATTTCAGATTCGCACACTTGTAAAAACGATAAAACTAGCATTTTTAAGTAACGGTTTAGCCATATAAAATATTACCAACATTTTCCAGAGGAGGACCCCCCCCCCCCCCTTCAAACGGGGCTTTTTCCATTCCCTCCACTCCATAATGAGAGGTGCCAAAAGAGATCTTACTTGGCCTCTGAGGAGGTAAAGAGAGACATATTAGTCTAAATAAAACAATGCCAAAGTTCTTGAAATAAGTCTCCTGGAACATACACCATTTTGTGACGGGATCCAAAACATAATATTTTTGTTATATTGTTACTGCATTATTCATACTTTCGGATCTAAAGTAGCTCTTTTACTCCCTAGAGATAAAAAGCGTTATTAGTCTCTTGGTAGTGAGTCAGCTGCAGTAAACTTCGTTTGTTAAAATCGCATGTATTGATAAGAATAAGAATAAGAATCCATTTATTGTCATAATTTGTCAATTTACATTGCTATAGACAACGTCAAAGAAATATATTAAAGTGCAGTATAAAAGGAGATGAGTACAATGTACTTGTCAGGATAACAGATAAAACATCAAAATTAACAATTAGCAACAAATCAATACTATGAAAATTAACAATAAATAAATTACAACTATTCACCAAAGCATCACTGGATCAAAGCTCAATAATATTAAGTTAAAATCTATATGCTAAAAACTCATCAAGAGAATAAAACGCTTTATTTATAAACCAGCTTGACAGTTTTGATTTGAATGGTTGGATTTCAAGGTTTCTGATCTCTGGTGGTAATTTATTGAAGCACTTGATTTGTAGATATTTATGGCTGACTATTGTTTTCCGCAATCTAAAAGAGGGTGGGACAATATCTTGTGCTCTTCTAGTGTTATAATTATGAACTTTCTCAAAACATACATAATCACTCTGGTTTTCCTTTACATATACAAGATTTTGAAATATGAAAATGCAAGGGACAGTCATTATATTGTAATCAATAAAACATTGCTTACAGTCATCTTGATAAGGTAGATTGGCTAAAATCCTTACTGCTTTTCTTTGCCAAGCAAAAACATGGATAGCACCTCTACTATTTCCCCAGAGCATTGTGGCATACAGCAAATGGGAATGAAAATCACTAAAATAAGTATTTAATAACGTATTTCTACCAACTCATTGTTGTAGCTTACGTAGCAAAAAACAAGCCCTTGAAAGTTTTGAAACTACTGAGTTGGTGTGAGATTCCCATGTAAGCTTCTGATCTAAAGTGACCCCTAGTAATCTAACAGGCTTACAATCTTCCTCTGAGTCTAATTTTTTCAAAGTAAAACAGATTGTTTCAGTCTTGTTGGCATTGACTGTAAGGTGGTTAGCATTAAACCAAGAACTGGCTAATTCCATTACTCTGTCACTGTGTGCTTTTACATTTTTTAACACTTTATCGGTAACTACAAAAGAAGTGTCATCCGCATATAGAATGGTTTTACAAGGAATATTGCTAGGCAGATCGTTTATATAGATAAGAAATAAAAGTGGACCCAGAACTGACCCCTGTGGAACCCCTGCAAGGACCTCCTGAAAAGAGGACTCAATGCCTGCCGATGAAACCTTGTGCAATCTACCACAGAGATAAGTTTTAAAGAATTGCATCTGCTTATCATCTATACCATAAAATGTTAGTTTGTTTAGAAGGGCTTCATGTGATCGGTACTATCAAAGGCCTTGCTGAGGTCTACAAGAGTCATATTAACATAATCACAATTTTCAAAGCTATTGATAATACCAGTTACAACTTCATTTAATGCCTTAGTTGTGGAACGTCCAGGTCGAAAACCAAATTGGCTACTACTTAAAACATTATGTTGATCCAGAAATTCTAAGAGTTGGTTCTTAACACATGATTCTATTATTTTTGAAAATACAGATACGATACATATTGTTCTATAGTTATCAATACATGACCTGTCACCCTTTTTGAAAAGCGGTATACTCTTGGACATTTTTAAACAATTAGGAAACAAGGAGCAATAAAAGGAAAGATTGATCAAATATGTCAAAGGTGATACAATATTAGCTGCAATATGTTTGATAACTCTGTTACTAAAACCAAAAATATCTTCACTCTTAGATGGTTTCAGAGATCTCATTATTTTAAGCACATCAAGCTCACTAACATAATGCAACTTAAATTTATCAGGAGGCTGGTCTACATTGTTTAGAAAGGTGAAAAAACTCAAATTACCTTTATTAGTTAATTTAGTACTATCAAAGATTACATATGCTACGCCTATCAACCACCTTTTTCCCAATACTTATATAGTAATCATTAAATTCGTTAGCTGAAATAGGTGGAATTGGATTTTCCCGCTGATAGTAGTTACCAGCTTCTGATTTAATTACTTGCCATGCAGCTGAACACTTATTCTTTTGGTTATATCAAGATATTTCAAGATATTATGTATCAGTATCATTGATTTAATTAGATGTAGCTTGTGTTGCATTGTTGTCAAAAGTTCGACGTCCACACTTGTGTGCTTTTAATTTCAACGTGCCTTTCAGCTATCAATTCAACATGCATCAACGCAAGTGATAATGCATGCCCCTTGAGGTATTTTTACTGTCCAGACTCATGCTCACTTTCTTGATACCTTTTCTTCGTTGGATGAAGCCGACTCTATTCTGATAGGAGGAATGGTGAAGCATGTGGTGTTAATAAAAGTTCCAAAATGTAAGAAATCATGGCTGACAGTGGATGAAGAAGTACAAAAAAACTCAAAATGTTCTTATTTAATTAATTAATTGATTTAATACAATTTTAATTTATTTTCATTTCATTCATTTTAATTTAATTTTTTGTATTTTATTAATCTGTATGTCCCACTAACAAATAGAGCAATCAGCAATAATCCTATATGAATTCATAGATTTCTTAGTTATTAAGTATGCTTAAACAACTACAAAACGGAAGACTTATCAAAAATGCAAAGCAGTTGCAAGTTGAAACGCACAGAAAACGAAGGCTGATGGATTGTTGGGCGCTATGGAAAGGAGCTCCTTCCGACTGATTTCAGGCAAGCAGGACGCATGCGTCTATCTCCATCACGGTATGCGCTTTGCGCACACAAAAGCGCACCAATTTGGACATATAGCTTATTATCAATCATATAATGTGCACTAACACAATCATAATAGACCTAAATGATTGAATCACTTACTAAACAGCTAACGAACAGAAAACGTGTTTTCTGTGGTAGTTTTGAGAGGTTATCTTTATATGAAAAGTATTTTTAGTTTTCGAGCTTAGTTTGTTACAGTAAATAATGTTTGCAATATGAAAAAATGTATAGTTCATCACATGGGCAAAAAGCGTCTTTTTAACCCTGGCTCATTTTCCCACCGAGGTAAAGCCGAGCAATACTTCCTGAAGCTAGAGTCTACTTCTGACGCATGACTCCACAGGTGAAGTCCATCCATTAGCAATTTGCAAAAGGGACAGGGTATGAGACACCATCAGCAGTTAAATGCTCATTCCTCCGTCACTCATTTCGTAAGCTGATGCCATGTCGTCAGAGAAGTCACCACGCATTGGCTTCTTGGACCTGGATTGTAAGCTACATCCCTTATGTGGTGTAGGGTTAGCTCTCTAGTCTATGGTAGAAGCGTGGTAACTTGTCATCCGCAAATAGGATGAAGCTGCTAGCTGCTAGTGTCGTTGATGAGGACCATGAATAGAAGAGGGCCCAACGGAGCACAGATCCTTGAAAAACTAAGCTGGGGCCTCTAGTTTGGGTTGTCCGTCCACATTATGTAATGCTCAAGGAGAGGAGAGGGAGAGGGGCTTTATCATTACGTGGAGGGGGAGGGGTTTCCTATATAAATAAAAAATAAGGTCTTTATCCATATGAGCGAATGTCAGTTACAAAACCTCTTGCAAACTATAACTCAAGCCAGGAGTCAGGACTTAAAACCAAACAAAAATTCTTAACACTTCGATCGACACAAAATAAGAATAAATAATCATAAACTCTTTACGTGAGTCTTAACATTTTTTTAAACAGTGCTTTTGGTATGCAAGGAAGTGCATTGTACCGTAGAAAAAGCATACTCCCTACATTGCCATAGATAAAACATATTCCCTAAAGCCCCAGTCACACGGAGCTGGTTCCAGCAGATAGTTCTCGCTGCGAGAATCAGCAGCTTTAGTTGCTAGTTCTCCAGCGCGCTAGAAGTCCTGTCAGACGAAGCTGGAGAACTAGCGCTACAACTTACAAGTCTGGGGATGTAATTGAATGTAACTACACAGTCCGTAGGTAA